TAGCATTATCACTCTGTTTTTGACTCTCCCGGAAAATGCAATTATTTTGTCAGTGAGTAGAGATTTCTGATTTCTGATATCGATTTTGGCGGCTGCTTGGCATGGTCATAAGATTCATTTTTATATGGCATTTATGTTAGGAGCACACCACGCATCTTAATTTCTCAATCTTTGTTTGATCAATAGTCATTATTCAAATATGCGTAAAGCGAAAAGTGTAAAAGAAAGAAAGAAATAAAAACTTATTCTTTGAGTAAAGATCTTCTCCCAACATAAATCACTCAAAGTATTGCCTTTTATTGGCCTTCTATACTCACAAACTCAAGACAAAATGTTGCTTAATCTTTTTAACTGTTTTACTTCATATAGATAATGTTTTAACTATTCCTACGTGAGTTATATAATTTGCAAACCTTAGATATCTCGTCATGAAGATATCAGAAAACTAGAATTTAGGATACGAAACTTAATCAACTTGAGACATTTGTTATTACATACCACAAAGTTTTGAGCGATTAACTAAAGAACGTTATACCAATTCGTTAACTTGTTAATTAGGCGTCAGATTCACCCATATAAGAGAAGTAAAATCAATTGCATGTCACATCTATCTTTTTTTTTTTGTCTGTTTGTATGACTTAGTTGTATGACTCATTTATAAGCATAGCATTGCTCAAAGCAAAAATCGATTGCAAATGCAACTCGGTCTCAATCAACATGATCTTCATCTGTTGATGCTTTTTTCACTTCATTCTCAAGTTTAAAGTATTCTCAGTCAGCAAATGTAAATGCTTTTTTTCATTGAAATAATATTGTATTTTGCAATTTAAAACTACAGTTTTGTTTTTCAATAGTCATTTGCTTCAACACGTAACTATGCATTTTGGTCAAAAGAAGAAACTACAGTTTTATCTATTGATGGCTCTCGGTCAGGTGATGGAAGAACATACCAGGAATCTAGTGTCACTTTAATTAATCATCTCTAGTGGATATTGCTGAAAATGGAATGAGGTATATGTGACCATCACTTTCTTTGTTTCATTTCATCTCTCAATAGAAGCAATAATCTCTCCAACTTCTGCTACTTATCTCAGTCAACAGCTTTTTCACATTATTATATGTCTAACTTTGTTAGAGATTGTATCATTCTATTCTTTTGATTTATAGTGAAAAATCTCTGTCATACTGTTACCATGGACATAGCCCAAATGGATGAACTACATAAATCGTTGTGCCTCATTTACTTTTATCTGTTTTATTTATTTTCTTTGCGTATATATATTGTTGATTGTTTATCATGCCACTTGATCTAGGGGTTGATTATGTCATTTCGTTTTAGACCTTAAGTTAATGATTATAATAACTAATTGGTTTCTTTCATGGTTGATATGAAAGAGATTCAATAAATCAGAACATATTTTTGGCTAAAAGGGGAAAATTATATCCTAGAACACCCTGGGCTTATTTACTATTGTTGAAACTTAAAGGGTCTAAGAACCGTAAAATTATGATAAAAAGATATAAACTTAAAGGGTCTAAGAACCGTAAGTGCTGTTCGCTCAAACTTCGTGCCCTGTAATTTTGGCATTGTATGATTTTGGATATCATCAAAATAGTACCATTTGATTGTTATTCAAAGAAATTCTACCCAAAAGCAAATTCATCTTGAAATTCAACCATAACCTTTTAATACCTCTAGCATATCCTATATCGTAATCATTCAATTTAATAAAATAAGCACGAGTTGATGTGATCTCCCATGAACGGTCACCACCACCACCACCACCACTACCATTGTCATTGTTGTCAGGATCATCATCGACAGCAGCTTTGATAAAAGAATTATCACCATTAAGGGAGCTTGCACAGCCATCGACAATTACAATATCATCGAATAGTTTACCATCAACCTAAATTAATCAAAAAAGTTTAAAAGATTAAGAAACAAACTGTTATCATAATATTGACGTGATAAAGTATTTGGATTAAAGAACTTCTTACCGTCCTCTCAACTTTCCATTGCGATATCTTAGACAAGTCGTAATCATCTTCACATGGTTCCACACCATGCATATATAACATTATCAGTTGACCGTCACTAGTCGACTCTCCATCTCCGCCTTGTGTCGCAAGCGGCGGACCCTTCGCATTCCACACAATCAACATCACACGATAGCAGACTATATACATTTACGTATAAGGTTTACATGACAAGAACTCATATTGTTTTATGATATTTTTAAGATAATTAATTTCACTTTAACTTTAGGATCTTTTAATATTTTCACAAAACAAAATTAAAAACTACATCTTCAACTTTATCTATATCTATCAAAACAATTGAAAAAAAAAATTCCCTTCTTCATGGATTAATACAATTAATCAAAGAATTCCAACATATGAAAATTACCTTTAAGGACATAATCTTTTGCACCATATTTAAGGTCTTTATTTCGAAATTCAAGCAATATTTGGTTATTTAAAACATTATAGTTTATATTTATTCAAAAAATAAAAATAAAAAAGAAAAAGAAAAGATGATGGGCCTGGCACTTTAACTACTTAGAAGATGAAGGCCCATTTTGCTCCAAATAATGCTTGTTTTCTTCCAAACAATATCAATGGGCCCTTCAGAGTTCAAACCTTTCGAATTCTCAAACGTCAAACATTGGAGAAGAGAACTAGAGGATGTCCTCCATCTCCACGAGATTTTAACTAAGAATCTCTCACGCTTTCCTCAACATTGATTCCGCATATGTGCAAAGAGATGACCTTCGAATTGTCAAGCAGCTACAATCGCCATCAATTCCTAGTGATTTTCTCTCTTCTCCTTTTCAGACATTTTCTTTTCGTAGCTTAAGCAGATAAAATTTGAATTAGATTCTGTGTTTAATTTTATAACAAGCTGAATAAAAAATAAAAGTACTAAGTGTCTGTTAAGGATTAAGATATCTCCGTGCTTTTTCCGAGCAATTTGTCTTCTGTTGATGTATGTGAGGTCGACTTGGTGTGTGGCTTATATCTTAACTTTGTGAGTTTCAATCTTTGTCGCTAATTATCAGTATCAATGTTTGATGTTACAGGGATTATATGATTTCTCAGTGAATTAGTATTCTCTGGCATACAAAAGAGAATATCAAGATGTGACCAATCTGGTGAAACTTTAAGAAATATATGCTCTATAGTTCTCTCTTTGGAGAATTGATACAGTAGGTCCTTTTGAATTACTAAGTTACTGGATGATGCTGAGACAAAACCATTGAAAGATCAATTTTGTTAGAGTTATGTCATTCTGCTGGTTACACCTTATAAATCACAGGATTTAGCAATACAATGCATCGACCAGCACTATAATATGAGAAAATAGAATCAGAAATTGTTGTTTCATGGTAACATCACTAACTGGCTGCTGTAGCTTATTTGTCTTCCGAGGATAACATACTTAACAGTTAACATTGCAAGATTGTCTCATATTTCGATCTTAAAATTGTATGCTGACTTGATAACTTTGTGAATATGTATAACAGTCTATGTATCCCATCTCACAAAAATAATAATGTATTGCAGTTTAAGGCCACAGAGTTCTGTTTTTCAATAGTTGTTTGCTTCAACAAGTGAAATATGCTTTTTGGTCATAAGAAAAAAATGTGCAGATATCTCTAGGCATGAACAAACTGCTCTGTTTCAATCAATGTTTCTCAGGTTAGAAGTTTCAAAACATATATTTATTAATAAAGAAGTGAAGTTTATGTACATTATCTAATAGCATTTTGTACTCAACCAGTAAAATAATGCCTTTTGGTCATTAGAAGAAAGTTTCAGAAACATCTTGCATGTAACACTAGCCAGCCACATGGTACGCTAGAGCTCATTGGCATGAACAAACTGTTCTGTTTCAGTAAATTTTGTCTTTCTCAGGTCAAAACATATATTTATTAATTAAGGACCAAAGTTCATGCATATAATCTACTAACATTTTCCTATTCAGGTGATGTGAAACATGTTTCCGTGGACTTGAACTGTGAACTGCCTCTTTCATTTTCAATGCTCATCCAACTCTGTCTCTTTAAACAACTAGCTGCCTTTAAGTGAACAGTCCAGGAATTTTGAGTCACTAAACTTATGTATAAATTGAAAGTAAATTTATTATCAGGTAGTTTCTTGGTTTCATTCATCTAACACTTGAGAAATTTTTCTCTTCAATTTCTAGTATTCGTCGCTATGCTAGTTCATAAATGCAAACTCAACAGTATCTTTAAGCAATTCTCATTAACCTTCGTAAATCTCATTAATTTATATAATTTTGTTTATGGATAAAGTGGGGAAGTGAGACCACTTTGCTCATATATAATATGTAGATGATGATATTATTGACTTATTTTAATCATAAAATTGAATAATCTAAAGCCTTATAATGGCCCAATACCTTGTTACATGAAAGAGAAATTACTAATTCATTAAGCATTTTATATTGATTCCAAGAATTTACTTGTGGGAATTTTGTTGAATTTAAACTGATAAGATTTTTTCTGTGATTATTTTGTATTACTGTTCTGAATTTGATAAAAAAATTTTGTATAAGTCCTTCTACTTCATGAAAATAAAACTTAAATCCTTAGAGACTATATTTGTATTTAAAAAATAATATTGCACCTTTCAAATATATCCACATATTCTCATCTCGTATGATGTGTTTTCATATGTAGTTTGGCGGTGACACAGAGCTCAGACGTTGAAGAGAATCCCGTCCATCAAGTTCCCTCAATGACACCCAAAACCCTCTAGTCTGTTTCTCTATTCTTGTTTCGCTTCAACTTGATTTTTTTTTTAATAAAATTGTGTGTCGGTGTATGTTTACAGTTCTCCAAATCCTAGAAATAAATTCAGTACTTGATTCGAAATATATAATTATAGATCTCGCTTACTAGCATAAGAGGATGTATTTACTTGTAAATTCATGAAATCAAATTTTGTAGTATAACGGATTATTCAGCTACATCATGATTCTGGTACTGGTAAATTATATTGTTTATGGTTCCTTGTGGAAATGTTGTAATGTTTTTCAGCACAATTTATTAATTACATTCCAGATTTTGCAAATGCAACTCAGTCTCAATCAGCATCTTCATCAGTGCCATATTAGGGATCAAGAGATCTCATTTGTGCCCCTTTGAAAGGGTTGCATTCTACTGGTTAGTCGTTGGTAAATTTGGATATAATACATAATTATGGATAAAATTTAAGGATGTTAAGAACCTATATTGAATCCATCAATGTTGGTCTTATAGATGCGTGGATTTATGCCTTCTTTCAAAAGCAAATCTGTCTTTTCATTGTTTTGGAGAGCATTTGTATTTAAACTGAAACCTACGAGGGAGATAGCCTGTTTTATGTTACTTGCTACTAACATAGTTCCCTTTTTTTGGGTAAATTTTGACCTTTGCTCATAACTTCAAGTCTTCCTCAAACTCTGCAGCTATATGCTCGCAGGCACTTTTTGTTTCCTCCCATGAGTATTGAAGAATATAATGATCGTGTAATGGCAGTAGGACGCTGTGAAGCACAAGCATGATTTTAATTTTATGTTTTATCTTTGAGTTGCATGAGTGATGTTGTGGCTTTATAAGTTATGCTTCCAATAGTTATATTTTTGTAATTCTGCTTTTCATTGGTCTAGTTGTATATTCTTCTGAACCGATCTTTCCGTCCCTAGAGTTACAATGTTTATTATCAAATTGAGTTAGTATGTAGCTTCATAGCAATTCTTATAATAGTTTCTGCACTATTATTTGTTGTCTGGATTGCACAAAATTGTGAAAAGAAAACATGACTAAAGAAAGTTTGATTAGATTTTTGTTTACTTGTGCATGGTGAAAATTGTAACATTTGTATCTGCACATTCAGGATGCTTTGCTCCAGAAACTTCTTGATGATAGGTACTTATCAGCAGAAGAAAGGTTAGCAGAAAGATTTGATGCTCTTCATAGGCTTTTTTTCTCCTAATTTTGTATAGTTGGACTTTCATCTTTTGAGAAGTAAGATATTTACAAATTGACAGAATCTTTGATGCCTTCCTCCTCAATCTGGAGGTTATAAAAAGCACTCTTACATAGATTTTTCATATACAATATGATGTTCCAATTCTAGATTTTTAAGAGCAAACATCCAGAGGATCTTTAACATTTATTCATCTTGCAGGGCCATCTTGAAGAAAATTTTCTGTGCACGTTTTATTTCTTGTGATCCAGAAGCTTTGTGCTCATGATGATGCCAATACTTAACATTCCACTTTCAATCCTTCTATTCTGAGTGCTTGAAATGATTTTAATTATAAGTAACTCTTTTTTGTTATGGTCGTTACTGACACAAATTTCATTTTAATGATGGAACTACCAGTCCATTTCAGCATAAAAAGTAGAGTGACATTCAGGAAAAAGAGGATCTTATCATTGGTGTCAACTTTGTCAAATGAGAGAAATCTGCTAAAACTCTCAATTTGAGTCCACTTTTCTTTTTTTACCCAAAATGTTTCCTTACTTTCTGCTGCTATTGCATCTCTTTTAATGCGAGAAAATTATCTTTTGGAACTCTGATTAAACTGTTGCTGAAATTACACTGATATTCATTTACTCAGAGTTGGCATTTGACTCATGGTAGTTGATATTATTTACCGTAGGGATGTTCTTCGCCGGGGAAAGAATATCATCTCTGGTAAAACACGGACAAAAAAACGAGCTGGTACAGCAGTTTACAATAGAGCATCTTCGCTAGAAACACTAGTCAGTACCCTCGTACCTTGTTTTTTTCTTGCAATACTATTTGTTACATTTAAGAATACATTAGATTTCACTCTGGGTTCCCGTTAATTGTATGCCTTAACTGGTTCTCGTACACAGGTTGGTTATCTGTGCTTGACAAATGCAAATCGATTGGAAGAAGTCATGGGAAAGCTGGGATTCTCAACTGGTTCTTCTACACAGCCGATTTTAGAGGAACAAGTAGCAAGTTAATTGCTGAGTCATGCTTTTTGTGGCATCTAAGTCGAATATGCAACAGTCAAGAGGATTTGCATGATTGCGACAAAGTAAATAGATAGGCAGCGAGTAAGATGCCATAGTTAAGTCATGCATGAAAATTTTCTGAGAAGTTGTGGTGATATTGTGCACCAGAGATGAAAGGGAAGCTGGGATTTTAAGTGATGTTCACTCGAACTTCATGTATGTTTAGTTTTAGGGCATTGGATGCCCTTGTAATTTTGGCATTGTATGATTTTGGATATCAACAAAATAATACCATTTGATTGTTATTCAGAGAAGTTCTACAAAAGCAAATTCATGTTTGCCAGTGCTTCAAGACTTAATTTAATATTTAACTAGTTTGCAAATTTAATAATGCAATATTCTGTTTGAAACAACCTTGTTTTCATACGGCTGTACATTTTCTATCTCAGAATTGCAGAGCTTTTGCTTTTCAAGATTCACATATTCTAAACATGAGTTTGTTTTTCAAGATTGACATAATCTACCATACTCAAGAAAAAGTTACTTCCATCTCAAGTTATAGTAAAGTTTTTACATAATTATTCTTTGAGTAAACATCTTCTCCCAACAATAATCTGTCAAATTCTTTCTTTGATACGGCCTTCTACACTTTGCATCACATTCTTTCTTTCTTCAAAGAGTAGCTTGTTGAAAGTTTAATCCTTAAAGTCCATGGATTATTTGAACTATTCTTTTGTCATTATGATAGCTTGTAGATTGAAGAGACTTCCTATCATCAACCCTCTTAATCAGACTCTTAATTTTATAATGTCTGATGCTATTTTATAGTAATATATACCAGCTTCAACAAAAACAAACTGTACAGTTTGAGGAATAAAGTAAATAAAATATGCTCAAAGAAAAGAATGAAGGAATTGCTTGATCAACAGTTATACCTTAACTAGTATCAAAGCAATACTTTGGTTAATTTGGATTTATTCCTTGGTCTTTTCCATGAACTATAAATGTTGAATGGAAGTTGCAGCATTATCACAACATAAGCAAACCAAATATTTCGATTTCGATCAATCTTTGTTTAACCACTTACATCATTCAATATGGCTGAAGCTCTTGTTTCCATAGCCTTGGAACAGCTGGCTCCATTCATTCTTCAACAGGCGAGAGGAGGGATAAGCTTGATTGTGGGTTCCAAGCAAGAAGTTGAGAAGCTTCAAAGCAATTTCCGGGCAATTCAAGCTGTGTTGGCTGATGCTGAGAACCGCCAAGTGAAGGAGAACACCGTGAGAGATTGGTTAGACAAGCTCAAAGATGTGTCCTATGACATAGATGATGTCTTGGACGAGTGGAACACGAAGTTTCTGAAATTACAAATTAAAAGAGCTAAACATGCTTCTAAGCCTCTGAAAAAGGTATGTTCCCTTGTTCTCCGTTATCTCAGTTGTAAGCCACTCGTTATGCGTTATGAAATTGCTGTCAATATAAAAGATCTTCGTAGAAAACTAGATATTATTGTTATGGAGAGAGAGAGGTTTCAGTTTAGAACAATCGTCGAGGGTAGCAAAGAAGTAGAACGACCAATGACAACCTCTTTTATTGATTTGAAAGAGGTTCGTGGAAGAGATAATGATAGGAATTCACTAGTCGATTTGCTCTTGAGTCAAAGTAGTCACCAACCAGCCCTCCCCATAATCTCTATAGTAGGGATGGGAGGAATCGGCAAGACAACTCTTGCTCGACTAGTTTTTAATGACAATAAGGTGAACACCCATTTTGATAAAAAAATATGGGTGTGTGTTTCTGAGCCTTTCGATGAACTTAGGATTGCAAAAGCAATTCTTGAATCTCTCACAAGTAGTCCATCACAATTAGTTGAATTAGAAACTGTAATGCAAAGCATACGTAGAAAAATTGAAGGAAAAAAGTTTCTTCTTGTCTTAGATGATGTATGGACTGAAAATTCTGAAAATTGGGAAAATTTAAAACATACTCTGAACTGTGGTTCTCTAGAAAGTAGAATTTTAGTGACCACACGTAAGGAGAATGTTGCAAATGCTGTTGGAACCACCAACATAATCTCACTAGGGATACTTCCTGAGAAGGAATGTTGGTCTTTGTTTTGTCAACTTGCATTTTCTGGAAAAACCTATAGAGAGTTTGAAGAAATCGGTAAAAAAATTGTTAAAAAGTGTAAAGGTTTGCCTCTTGCTGTAAAGACTTTAGGTAGTCTTTTGCGCTTTAAAAGAAAATTTGAAGAGTGGGAAAGTATCTTAAATAGTGAAATATGGGAATTAAAAGAGGTAGAACAGAAGATTTTTCCACCTCTGTTATTTAGCTACTATGACTTGTCCTCTATATTGAAAAAATGTTTCTCATATTGTGCTATTTTCCCAAAGGATTATGAGATACAGAAAGATGTATTGATCAAGTTATGGATGGCACAAGGTTATTTAAGGTCAGAGGCAAATAAGGATATGGAGTTAGTTGGTGAGGAGTATTTTGAAACGTTAGCAATGCGTTCTTTCTTCCAAGATTTTCAAAAAGAGGAATATGATATTGATATACATTCTTGTAAGATGCATGATATAGTACATGATTTTGCTCAATTTCTTACCCAAAATGAATGTTATACAATAGAGGTTGATGGTAGAGGAGAAATTGAATTAGAATCTTCTTATGTTAAAGTTAGACATTCAATGATAAAGATTCAAGGAGGAGCCTCATTTCCTAGCTCTATTTATACTAGAAATACTTTTCTACGTAGTCTTGTGGTTGATTGTAATTACGATCCTGACCTTAAGATAGTTTTGTCCAAATTAATTGATCAATTTACATGTCTAAGGTCATTATCTTTGTGTATGTGCTCAATTGAAGAAATTCCTGTAGAAATAAAAAAATTAATACACTTGAGGTACCTTGATTTGTCTTGGAATGAAAACATAAAAGAATTGCCTGAGACATTGTGTGGGTTATATAATCTACAAACCTTAGAGATAAGTGGATGTGAAAATATCAAAAAACTACCTCAAGGGATTGGAAACTTAATCAACTTGAGACATTTGTTAAAATCGGGGATTGATAGTATAAGTTACATGCCAAAAAGTTTGGAGAGATTAACTGGTCTTCGAACATTAGAAAGATTTGTTATAAGTGAGGGCAATTATGGTAGTGAAGAATGTTGTGTTGAATGTCTAAAAAACTTCAAACACCTTCGAGTATTTGGAATAAAAGCGTTGGGAAATTTGAGAGATGTGGATGAGGTTAAAGGAATAGAATTAAACAATAAGAAGAACTTGCGTGCGTTGCATGCAGACTTTGAGGGGAGGATGAATGAGGAGCAAAATCAACAACTTCTTGAGGAGTTGCAACCACATCCAAATTTAGAGATATTAGGGCTACAAAATTACAGTGGCAATACTATTTCTCCTAATTGGATGATGTCATTGACCAAATTGAGAAGCTTATTTATTTGGGATTGTGTAAATTGTGAGCATCTGCCTCGTTTGGGTAAGTTATCAGCTCTTGAAATTCTTTGGATGGAGGGAATGAAGAGTGTGAAAAGAGTGGGTAATGAGTTTTTGGGAATAGAGAGTGATGCCACGCCGTCATCTTCATCAATTATTGCGTTCCCCAAACTAAAATTTCTATGCTTCTGGGACATGAAAGAATGGGAAGAGTGGAATTACGGGAGTCCAAAGAGAGGAGACGAAGATATTCCAGTCATGCCATCTCTTCAGACCTTGAAACTAGTATCCTGCCCCAAATTGAAGTCTCTACCAGACCACCTTCATCAGATGACAGCGTTGAAGAAGGAAATATATGATTGTCCTCTTCTTCAAAGAACAGAGAACCCATAGCTGATCGTCATCTTCCTCTGATTAAGTTCTCTAAAATTGTCAACTTCAACACTGTTTTTTCTTCAAAACACAGGTAATTTCCTCTCTTTTCCCTTTTAATTTATTTGTTTTGAATCAGAAATTATTTGTTATGTTCCCGAAAGAACTTGAGTGAATCGATAACTCATCATCATCTCCTCCAGTTTTGACCAACGTCTCTCAAGTCTTAACTTCAACTTTGATTCTGCAAAGGGACATCCTTTGAATTCTCAATCCACAGGTCATTTCTCTCCTTACAGGCAAAACCTCTGGTTTTGACCAACATCTCTCAACTCCTAGATTCAATTTTTCTTGTGAAAGAGGTGCTGAATATCCTGCACCATTGCAGTTTTAAGCAATTCTTATGATTTGTTGTTGGATCTGAATTGGACTAGGTAATCTGGCCATAGGAATTCTTATATAATCTTGAATCTGGACCATTTTATCATCTCTTTTTTGTCTATATTAGCATCACTTTCTATCGGAAAACTAAACCATTTCTCCATAGCACATCCTAGTTTCTTTTCATTTTATTTTATTTTTTAAAATTTATTCGAAATTAATCCTCCTATGACTTGTACTGTAATCTTGAAATGTATAGTTAGTTTGTCATTCAACATGTTCTGTTTCTTTCTCTGGGTTTTGCTTGGTATGTAAATGTAGTTGTGCTCTTTTTTTTTCTAATTGTTATTTTTTAAAATAATCTGGAAAATGAAATATTGTTTAGAAAAAATCAATTGGAAGTCTATAGTTTGCATATGGTGATCAAAGCATGAGTAAACTGAGTGAACTGGATTACTCAAATCATGATGCAAATAAAGAAATAAGACATTGAGCATACTATGTTACTGGGATGGCAGTAACAATGCTGAAACATGTTTTTTATATTATTAAATCTCAATTCATTAGATATATTTTGTTAGAAGTTGATATTCAATGTTACAAGTGTCGGAGTTCTCTTTAAATTGTGGCTTAGTAGGCCGTAAAAGATGGCAACACAGCTGTTCTCTTAGTGAATGGTCCTCGGTATGAATACTTTACTTCATAGCTTATATACTCCTTCTTCATGATTATTAAATTAAGCCGGTCTTTTGAATGTTTTCATTTTATGTTAATGTAGTCATTTTGTGCTAGTTGCGTTCATGTTGTACAAGTGGTAATGCATTCACAACATATTGACCTATATTATGTATCTATAGTTTCAGTGTTAACATTTATAATTATATGTGCATTCCTTGAAAGTTTTTCCTTTGTGATGTTCTTTGCCATAACAGATAAGAACAGTGAAAGTGAGCAATGCTTCATTAGGTGCATCTGAGCAAGATATAAAGGAGTTCTTTTCATTTTCTGGGGAAATTGAACATGTTGAGATGCACAGGTTTGTTATATATGAAATCTATGTTTTATTGCTGTCCTTTATCTTTTATTATTTTCTGTGGTTGTTTGGAAATAGAGAAAATGTGAAATTTGAAATGATTAACTTTTTTTGAGAATATTTTGGATATAATTATATGGAAGAAAGAATACTATATAATCTTATATTATTTTGATTATTATTTTTTCTTTCAGTGGAAATGAGTGGTCTCAAATTGCATATGTGACTTTGTGTTGTTCTTTGAAGCTAATTTTTTTTTTTTTAAAGCTGCAGCAACCAGGAAATCCTGCACTGGAGACGTCTTTTGAAGGAAGTGCTGAATATCCGGCACTACTGTAGTTTGAAGCAATTGTTATGTTTTGTTGTTGGATCTGAATTGGATTAGGTAATCTAACCATAGCAATTCTCATACAATCTTGAATCTGGGCCATTTTATCAACTCTTTTTTGTCCATATTAGCATCACTTTCTACCAGAAAACCAAACCATTTCTCCATAGCACAGCCTAGTTTCTTTTCATCTATCAGTGCAGCGATTTTCTCTTTAGCTTCTTGTTGTGGAATGCAAACTCAACAGTTTTCGTATTTTTTATAACATTCTGACTAGCATCATTAAATGGGCTTTTTTAGCTTGATTTTGGATGTCAGCTCATGGTTTTTGATGCTGGAACCTTAGCTACAGCAGGAATGGTGCCATTCATGATTAAACCAAAAATAGTTTTTCTCCAAGCAATTTGGAATAATTTAAAAATATGCTATGAACTAGCAGCACTACATTGAAATTTAATTCCAAGTAGCATTCTTCTTTCATTAAATAACTCTTCGTTTGCACAAAAAGTTTTCCAAATCTTTGTCCATACAACTACCTTGAAACAAAAGCTGAGTTCCATTAACAGCATATTACGTTTCTTTGATCGTGGTGTCATCATTCCTTTCATTATTATCCTTTGGAAATTATCTCATGCTATGTTCTATTTTCGGGTCTCATGCAAGATCTTTAGCTTCTTTTCTTCAATTAATTTACTTGATAAGCATGTTTTACATCACTAACTTGTTAGTTTCATGAATTATTAAATTTAGTCATAAACAACTCCTAAATCACAGTAGTGGACCAACCTAAAAAGAGAATTTAATTTTTTTTTGGAAAAGCAATTAGAACAGAGCATTTCCGCAGATCAACTTTGAGATGATAAACATTTTATAATTAGACTTAAATTTATTGCTGACATTTCAGCAGATTATGATAGCTATAGCTTCTCCTTTCCCAGTAAGCAGAATTCATTTATGTTGATGATGGTTTGTTCCAGATATCTTATGGTTATTAAGTAACTGGAAGACATTTTTCCTATCATTGAAACTTTTTTGATATCTCACACTTGATGCAGTAAAGCAAGTTTAACATGTAATGATTTTCTTCAAGAATCAATGTCAAGCAATAGTGTACCACACAAGCTTGGTAGAATTAGCTCCTTTTCCTTTTATCTACACAATGACATCTGTCCAAAAGGTACTTTCTTCCCCATTTGTTTCTGGTTTTGCTGTCCTTTGTAATCTAAGCAACAATCTTTAATCTGGAAAACAAAAAGTGTTTGTTCTGAAGACTTATCCAGTCACTTTTTGGTTGTCATTTATGGACTTATTTAGTTTGACTACATTGATGTTGTATGTATGTCATCAAGAAGTTTGATGTATATTGAAGATAAGATAACAATCACATTTTAAAGAGAAAACAAGGCATCTCAGTATTAATGTGTGGTGATTAATATTTGCTGAAGAGGGATCATTAACTTACATATATTGCTTAAATTGTGTCATGAAACCAAGAGGTGGTTGAATATTGGCTCAAATTTGGCAAATTCTTCACTAAAGACATGTTTGTTTTTCCTCTTTATAAGCTTATGCAACTGCTGGCTTATTTTATGTGGAGAAATGCATAGTCTCTACAGGATTGATTGTGGCTCGAGAGTGGAGAAATACATAGTCTCTATAGGATTGATTGTCGCTCGAGAGTGGATTTATTTGGGACTCTAATCTATTGCAAGGGGTGTGCCTTGTAAATATGTTTTACTTGGTATAGTGAAACCAGCATCCTTAGATATATTGACCGAACCACATAAAACATTCTCTCTTGTCTTTCTTTTATGTTTGATTATTTTGTTTATATTGTTGTTTGATTTTTATCTTTTAATATCAACCTGTTTCTTAGTAACACTTCTAAACTAGTTTCCCCAAGGCAACTATTCATGAATTGTCACACTTGAGTTCTTTTGCAACAGAAGTTGTCATTGATTAAGAAAATGTCAAGGTTGGAGTACAATGAATCTCCTTTGCCGTCATTAAAAATATGTACTATGGAATTAGGGAGATATATGGTAATAATACTTACTAATAATTGATTTAAACATTATCAAGCAATATGTAACACTTTGAAAATTCACCCTTCATTTTAGGGAATTTCTTTCTAATCCAGTTGAATATAACATTTATTTGTAGAGTCTGCATGCTGCTGAGAATGGCCTTTGAACATGATGAGTAGAGTGATGACCAGAATCAGGGGAAATAGTTGCTTATTCTTATGTGACAGAGAGGGTTTTGGTAGAATTGCTGATGTCTTGTGTGGGAAGTTTCCCAGAATCACAATCATTGTTCCTGTGGAGTGTCAAAATTGGCTTAAAGGTTTCACTGCTGTTGCCATTACATAGCAACTGAAGGTATTAATCTTCACAGGTTATTGCTTTATCATATATTTAGGTGTTGGTTCCGTAAGTGTGGCTAAGCCGTTCTCTTTCTCTGATTGTTGCAACTTGCAGGCTATAGATTAAATTAGGACAGCGCAAACGGGCATGCAATCAACAAGTTATCAATGCATCTTGATCCTGAATTTCACATCTTGAGTTATAGCTAGAGCTGTCTTGAATGGGCATAATGTATCCCGTCTCAAAACTCAGCTAGCTGCTTGACATTGAGCTTTTTGTATCTCTGTTTCTGAATCTTCTTCTCGGGCAGCATATCCCAAATGCAAACAGACAACAGTTGAGCATATAAGATGGAGAATCCAATATCGAAGGAAAACGGTTACTCGTGGCAAGAATAAGTGCAATTAATGTCCTCGATGAAAAAAGGTACCTCCTTGTCATCTCTATCGCATTCATTGATTGAATGGTGCGTTTATATATTTATATATCCTCAAAGCTGTTTAAAGCAATTAGTTTTCCCTAATTTACATGAATTGAAAACTTTACAACATGGTGGGTTGGGCTTTACTTTGTTCCCTCCCTTATGGAGGTGTGAAGCCCAATATATCAAGCTCAAAATGTGTTTGCAAATTGAAACCCAAACTTAACTTCATCTTCTTCTTCTTCACGTAGCAGCCAAAAACGAGAGAGAGGGAGAGTGTGTTCTGCTCCAACTGCTGTCCCTTCTATGCCAGCCACCATCTAGATTCTTTCCATCACTGTATATGTTTGTGAGAGAGGCAAAAACAAAGAGAAACGGAGAGGAAGTATGATTGTACTCTAGTTTGCACTAGAGAAGACTTTGTATTCCCATTTTTGATAATAGTGAAAGACTTTAATGGACTACGGTCCCGTGGTTTTTACTCCTCACATTGGGGAGGTTTTCCACGTAAAAATTTGGGTGCCATTGATCTTTAATTTTCTGCATATATTTGTAGCTTTTGATTATATTTACTCAAGAAAGAAAAGGAATTGTTGGAAGATAGATTCCTCTTTAGTTACGCAACAGTGAACTGGACATTAAATTGAAATTTCTTGCTTCTTTTGGGTTGATAAACACATTCGATAAAGAAAGATTGATAGACACCAATGAATTAATCTCATTGGAATTTTAAGTTGAATTGAAGTTGAAACTTTCCGTTGTTTGGATACCAGCTCTAAAGCTCTTACAAATGGGATTTTCATTGATTTTTCTTCTCAATTTTTAGAAATTCCTTCGTTCATTCTGATCCCACTTACTCCTTATTAAACAGAGAAGAAACAGGGGATCTAAAAAAAAATCATTAGATCGTCTAGAAGATATCAAAGAAAATGAATGCTCTCATCCCAGCCAAATATTAATAATGCCATATTTAAATGATGAGTATTGATCAAATATATAAATTTGATTGAATGAACAATTCCACAACCATCTTGGTAACATTCTGTTTGAAACAAGCTATTCTTGCAGAGAACATATATATATATAAAATATTGCTTAAAATTATTTTAAGTTAAAAAAAAATTATTATTATTATTCAACTAATTTTCAAGCTTTATAGATTGTAATGCAATATTTTAAGTCCAAATGTTATTACTAAACTAATTTGCAAGCTTTATAGATTGTAGTGCAATATTCTGTTTGAAACAACCTTATTTTCATACAGTAGTTCTTCAAAGCCATGTTTTTTCAATCTCAGGATAGAAAAAGAAATGAGATTTTGCTTTTTAATATTCATATAATTTGCCATTCTCAAAATTTTTCTTAAAAGTTACTTCCATGTCTAAGTCATTGTAAAGCTAAAGGCGTAAAGGAAACCAGCCGTGTATTTGTTTTATAATTTTGAGTAGTATTTTTGAAAAAATTGAGTTGAGTTATTATTACAGGTGTTTGGTAAGATTATTTTTTAATTCCTTATATTTGTTAATTTAGTTAAACACCTTTTACAATAAATTTTTTTAAAATTAACAAAAACACCTTCATCCATCCATTAAATGTTGGTAGCCGGCCATTACCGTCGAAAGGTAGTCGGAAGTCGTAAGAATGGTACACGACCGGCTGGTTGGGGGTGTTTAGTTAAATTAACAAACTTAGTAGTTTAACAAAATATAAATATTTTGATTGAATTTTAAAAATAGTAAAACAAACATGTATATTGAATATGATATGATAGGAATAAGGAAACAAACACAGCAATTTCTTTGAGTAAAGATCATCTTCTCCCAACAAAAATCATTCAAATTCTTTCCTTTAAATGACCTTCTACAATTTCCATCACATTCCTTCATTCTTCAAGAGTAGCTTGTTGAAAGTTTAATTCATAAAATGAATTGGAGTATTTTAACTATTCTTGTATCATTACAAATAGCTTATAGATTGAAGAGACTTCCTATTTTACAATAAAAATATGCTCTTACTTGGACAACACTTAATACTTTAACTAGTATCAAAGCAAAAGTTTTGGTTGGATTTATTCCTTGGTCTTTTCTATTTGGGCAATCAAATCTTAATTGGTTTAAAAATAAAAAGAAAGTTTAAGAAGGAAATACCTGAAGTCAACCAACTCTTAGGTATGTTTCTTTTGTTTTGTTTTGTTTTGTTTTGTTTTTTTTCTGATGAAAGTTTAATGTATCTTTTAGTTGAATATGTTTAAATATATAAGTCTAATTGATATGTTTGTTTTTTATTTTTTAATATTTGATTATAAGTATTGAGTTGTTTGGCTTTATATACGTAAACATCTTAAATATGATGTTTTGACACATTTGTCTTTATTAAATATAATGTAATTTTATATTTTACATGTTTTTTTTTTAAATTATCAAATTTATGAAAATAAAAGAAACAAATGTATATAAATTATAAATAACTAATTGTTTAATGCAGTATATAAAAATAAATAAAAGAAGACCAAAAATACAAAATTTATAAGGGTATTGTTAAAATTGGAATTATATAAGTTTAATAGGGATATTGTTGACAAACAAAATAATATTATCGATTAAGATGTTTTTTTATTTAGATAAATGCCAAATATTTTAGTTTTTTACTTATATCTGGTAAACAGACATAAGTTAAAAAACAAATTGAAAATCTATGATTGTCAAAGAACTAAAAATTATATATCTTTTAAGACCTTGTCATTCAAAATCCCGGTAACACATATATACATTTACATACAAGGTTTACATGACAAGAACTCATACTATTTTATGACATTCTTAAGATAACTAATTTCACCCTAATTTTAGAATCTTTTAATACTTTCACAAAACAAAATTAAAAACTACATCTTCAACTTTATCTATATCTATCAAAACAATTAAAAAAAATTAAAAAAAAAAAAATTCCCTTCTTCATGAATTAATACAAATTAATCAAAGAATTCCAACCTATGAAAATGACCTTTAAGGACATAATCGTTTGCATATATTTGCGGTCTTTATTTCGAAATTCAAGTAATATTTGGTTATTTAAAACATTAAAGTCTAGGATTTTTTTTCCCGAGAAAATTGCAAAAAAAAAAAAAAAAAAAAAAAAAAAGAAAAGAAAAGAAAAAAAGATAATGGGCCGGGGCACTTTAAATACTTAGAATCAAACTTTCACAAGTGGAGGGCCCTTCGGAGTTCAAACCTTTCGAATTCTCAAACATCAAACACTGGAGAAGAGAATTAGGGGATGTCCTCTTCTTCAACAACTTTCGAGATCCCATACCATCATCATCATCTCCACGAGATTCTAACCAAGAATCTCATACTCTCTTCATCAACATTGATTCCGCATATATGCAAAGAGATGACCTTCGAATTGTCAAGCAGCTACAATCGCCGTCAACTCCAGTGATTTTCTCTCTTATCCTTTTCAGACATTTTCTTTTCATAGCTTAAGCAGATAAAATTTTGAATTAGATCCTATCTTGTGTTAATTTTATAACAAGCTGTTTTTTTTTTTTTTTTTTTTTTATTTTCTTTTCAAACTGCAGCAAATAGTCATGCTCAACTGCATTGGGAAAAAGTTCTATCAACTCTCCATGCTTTTTTCCAGCAATTTGTCTTCTGTTGATGTAAGTGAGGTCGACTCGGTGATGTGGCTTATATCTTAACTTTGTAAGTTTCAATCTTTGTCGCTAATTATCAGTATCAATGTTTTGATGTTACTGGGGATGATATTTGATTTCTCAGCTGAATTAGTGTACTCAGGCATACAAAAGAGAATTTCAAGATGTGGCCAATCTGGTGAAACTTTAAGAAATGTCTGCTCTCTAGCTTCTCTCTTTCGGAGAATTGATACACTAGAGAGTGCTTGTTGTTGTTCCTGTGAATTACTAAGTTACTGGATGATGCTGAGACAAAACCATTGAAAGATCAATTTTGTTAGAGTTATGTCATTCTGCTGGTTACACCTTATTAATCACAGGATTTAGTAATATAATATGAGAAAATGGAATCAGAAATTGTTGTTTCATGGTAACATCCCTAGCTGGCTGCTTTAGCTTATTTGTCTTCCTAGGATAACATACTTGACATTGCAAGATTGTCTCATATTTTGATCTTAAAATTGTATGCTGACTTGATAACTTTGTGAATATGTATCGTAGTCTATGTATCCCATCTCACAAAAATAATAATGTTTTGCAGTTTAAGGCCACAGAGTTTTGTTTTACAATAGTTGTGTGCTTCAACAAGTAAAATATGCCTTTGGTCATAAGAAAAAATTTGCAGGTATCTTTAGGCGTGAAGAAACTCCTCTGTTTCAATCAATGTTTTTCAAGTTAGAAGTTTCAAAACATATAATTATTAATAAAGAAGTGAAGTTTATGTACATTATCTACTAGCATTTTCTACTCAATCAATAAAATAATGCCTTTTGGTCATCAGAAGAAAGTTGCAGATACTTCTTGCATGTAACGCTAGCCAGCCAGATGGTAAGCTAGACCTCATTTTCATGAAGGAACTGTTCTGTTTCAGTAACTTTCGTCTTTCTCAGGTTCGAAGTTTCAAAACATATATTTATTAATAAAGGACCAGAGTATATGCATATAATCTACTAACATTTTCTATTCAGGTGATGTGAAACATGGTTCTGTGGACTTGAACTATCAACTGCCTCTTTCATTTTCTATTCTCTTAAAACGACTGGCTTCAATCACTCGTCAACAGGCGGAAGAAGGGATCAGGCTGATTTCAGGAGCTGGACCTGAAGTTGAGAAGCTTCAGAGCAATTTCCTGGCCAATCAAGTTGTGCTTGCTGATGCTGAGGACCGCCAAGTGAAGGAAAACTTTGGTTAGACAAGCTCATAGACGATGTGTTGGATGTGTGGAACTCAAAGCTTCAGAAATTACAAATTAAGAAAGCTCGAAATGCTTGTAAGCCTCTGAAAAAGGTAAGATCTCTCATTCTTTACCATCTCAGTTGTAGACCATTGGTTTTTGGATTATGACATTGCTGTCAAGATAAATGATCTAGATGTAAGAACCAGACATTTATTGCTGTAGAGAGAGAGGTTCAACATTAAATCAATTACTAAGGGTAGCAAAGAAGTAGCATGGAAAATGACCACCTTTGTCATTGATGTAACAGAGTTTTATGGAAGGGATGAAGAGAAGAATCGAATAGTAGAAGTTTTATTCAGTCCTAGTCGTCAACAAGTCCTCCCAACAATCTCTATAGTAGGGATGGGAGAAACCGGCAAGACAACTCTTTCTAGATTAGCTTTTAACAATGATGTGAAAAGAGTAGGTTATGAGTTTTTGGGAATAGAGAGTGATGCTATGTCGTCATCTACAGAAATTATTGCGTTTCCCAAACTGTGGAACTATTGCAATTGGGTTCTAATGCTGTTGAATGAGAAATAGACTAGGTAAAGTGGCCACGGCAAATCTTATACAATATTATTAAGTGAGTATGATACACATATTACTCAAAAATCAGTTTTAACATCCTCTGCACTTACTGTGGAATTTATAACTTCATAATGTGTGACTGTGTATTTATTTTGAAGTTATTCCATGGTAAAGTTTTGTATTGTTTTGTTTTCAAGCTGCAGCAACCAGGAAATCCTGCACTGGAGACTTCTTGTGAAAGAAATGTTGAATATCAGGCACCACTTGAATTTTAAAACTGATAAGGTTCCATCAGCTTGCCATGTTATGTTGTTGGATGTGAATTGGACCAGGTAACCTGGCCATAGGGACTCTTACATGTTCTTGTATCTATAATTTTGTAACAAATTATTACTCAAAGGTCAGCTTTTGTTTCTTTTCTTTTCAAGCTGCAACAAACAGTTATGACTCAATACATATCTTGTGAAGAAATGTTTAATATCAAGCCCCATTGCGATGTCAAAAGGTTCCATCAGTTCACCATATTGGTTTCTGCAAACAATTGTTACTGATGCATACGAAACAAATGGACAAGGTAATTTGCCGCAGGACATCCTATATGAATTTATTTCCTGACTTTTGAGAGAACAGTCTTGAATTTTCGAATTGCTTTTGTATAAATTGAAAGCAAAATGATCATCTTCCGATAATGTAGGTATTGAGTGTTCTCTATAATAGCATTGTTCTTGGTTTCATATCATCTCTCGATATTCTAATTTAGTATCAGTATATGGATAGTTTTAGCTTAATTAAAATGGTAGCTGGCTCCTGGATTTTTTACCCAAGCCGTAAAATTCCAGAGTGGGAGTCACTCCCATAGTTGCAGCTACAGCTGAAACAAATCAGATTATCCAAAAGTTGTTAATTGTTTGATGGCTTTGAAGTTTCTTTTTTGATGGGAATCAGTTAAAAAACATGTTTAGGATTCAAGTTCATCAGGTTTACAGACTTTACAACCCCATGAATACCTATTTTCTAATACCTTTGTGAGAGAAAATCTTCAAAAAGGTATCCTATTGTTTTTCAAACTGTAAAAATCGGTTCTGAATAACTAGCCAGCCAGATTGTATTGTAGGTATTGATTGGCATGAAGGAAGTGCTCTGTTTCAAGAATTTCATTCTTTGTCAAGTTCAAAGTTTAAGAAGCTAATAGCTACCAACGGTTCTGGCTCAAGTGATTTGAGCTGTGAAGTTTGACATTCATTTTCAAAGTTCATCCAACTTCAGATGAACGTAGTTCAATGTTTTTCCATCGTCAAGTTCAAAGTTTAACGAACATCTCTTATGATTTAACTTTATCTATTACCTTTACACATCTAACTTCAAAACCTCATAAATATTGATTTTCTAATAACTTTGTAAGAAAGATTGGATCATTCTACCCTTTCATTTTCGTTGTTTATATAATAGTTTGATTGTTTATGAAGCCGTTTGATCTAGGGACTGATTAAATAAATTCTTTTTTCTTTTTTAGACCATAGGTTAGTGATTATAATAACTAAATTTCAAACCAGTATCATACATTTGGGTGAGCAATTAAAAAAGAAAGTTTAAAAAATAAGTACTTTGGAATCAACAAATTTGTAGTCATTCGATTAGAAATCTTGGAAACCCGCAAGCACAGCTTTTAAATCTTGGGTTGCTATAAAGTTTAAGATGTATATAATCTCAAGTGGAGGGTCCATTATGCTCCTCCACATGTTTGATTATTATCAAACCAAATTATTGCTCTCACCAAAAAATTGTTAGAGGGATTGACTCATTCTACTCTTTTAATTTATAATGAAAACTCTCTTATCATATTATTAACATGGACGTAGCCGAAACGGGTGAACCATGTAAACGGTTGTCTCTTTTACTTTTATCCATTTTCTTTATTTTCTTTGCTTGTATTTGACTTGAAATTCCAAACCAGAATTTCTTGCAATTTGCAAAGCTTACATCAACACGGATTCACGCGATGATTTCACCCCACTTAATTGCAAAATTGTAAAGAACAAACGGCTGTGATCTCAGCCATTAACATGAACGTAGCCCAAATTAAAAGAAGATTAAATTTGATCCAAACTCCCAGAAAAAAAATAACAGCACTGTTTAATAAAGTTCTGGCATTATGTGACTCAAGATTCCTTTGGTCTTTCTCTGACTATAAAAACTGATCAAAGCACACTAACCGTCCGTTGAAATATATCCGCTTATGAAACTTTAATTTATCATAACCGTCCGTTGAAATATATCAGCTTATGAATGTTACTATGTACAAGTAAAAATACAGGAGAAAAGTCCTCGGAACATGAATTTTGGAAATTTATAATAACTCTTTGATAAACGGCCATATGTTGTCCCAACTCCCAATACTATTGAAAAGCCCAAACATTCAGCAATATCGAGACCTGTTTGAGAGTAATTTTTCTTTAAAGGTGGCCGACAGTGGCTCTCCATAGTTTTTCTTTAAAGGTAGCCGACAGTGGGGACTAGGGAACCACAGTTCCCGAAAATTATCTCAAAAGTTGAAGCGAAATAATGGAAGACGGGGCCACAGACACCGTTGAGCCTGCCTTTGTTGACTAGTTTTGCTTTGATATTATAAAAAGTTTTGGTCCTTTTTAACTATAATAATTCTCTTTGGTTCCCTTGAGGCTTGAGCCCTGCCACTCTGAAGTAGTATCACGTGAAAGATTCCTTTCGTCTTCCTCTGACTGTAAAGTTTAAGATGTATATAACATAATGGAAATAATTTTGTAGACAATGCAGACGACGTGGCACCATGCGATCATTTCTCACATTTCAATCAACTTACGTAAACGCGGATTCAGCCCGTGATATCACAGCCACTTGAATTTCAAAATTGTAAAGAACAAATGGCTGTGATCTCACCACCGTTAATGCATCATTACCGTTCAATTATTTTGGAAAACGCCATCACTTTAAGATATTTTCTACTCAAGGGTCCCCACTACGTATATAATATTTCATCACTCAGAAATGCATGAGTTAATAATATGACATGCTAATCAAAAGTCACAGGGCTGAGCCAAAACTCGTATAAATTTTTCTGAAGTGGGGGGTCCTCTCTTCGTTGATTATTATCAAACCCAATTATTGCTCTCACCGAAAGTTTGTTGAAGTGAAAGATTCCTTTGGTCTTTCTCTAACTATAAACATTGATAATTACCACAAAATAAACACACCAACCATTTCAATTTCGCAATCTTTGTTTTCATCAATTACATATCACCATTCAATATGGCTGAAGCGCTTGTGGAGATAGTGTTGGAACAATTTGTTTCAATCATTCGTCAACAGGCGGAAGAAGGGATAAGTCTTATTGCAGGTGCTGAGCATGAAGTTGAGAAGCTTCAAAGCAACTTCCTGTCCATTCAAGCTCTGCTTGCTGATGCTGAGAACCGACAANATTGAGTGAACAGTCCAGGAATTTTCAGTCACAGAGCTTATGCATAAATTGAATAATCTAAAGCCTTATGATGGCCCAATAGTTTGTATTTGGGCCTAATCCATAACTCTAAAGCCCATCTGAACATACTAAGGTCCTCTAATATGAAATTATGTTAATGTATATGATAGATTTCTTGATTATTTCTCTATTACAAGAATAAATTATTCATCATCTAGCAATGGTGAAACTTGATAGAGACCGTGTTAATGCTTATATAATTATAATATAATCACTAAATTTTAAACCAGAATTATATGTTTTACTGATATCTTGGCAATAAATTTTAACTGTTTTAACCATCTCAGTTAGCCCCAAAGTTTATGTATATAATCTATTAATAGTTTCTATTCAGGTGATGTGAAACATGGTTCTGTGGACTTGAACTGTGAACTGCTTCTTTCATTGTCAATACTCATCCAGCTGGGAACTTTGAGTGAACATTCCAGGAATTTTGAGTCACTGAACTTATGTATAAATTGATAGAGTTCATGTTAATGCTTATAATTATTGTTAAATGATGAAGTCTGCGACGTCGTTTAAAGCCAAGTAAAACGCTGCCGTTTTGTTTATTAATCCAAGTTGATCACAGCCCTTCAATTAAGGAAGATTTGATGGCTCCAGTTCACTCAGTGGTCAATGATATAAAAGAGGCTATTTCTCTCAGTTGCAACAGTTCATTTTGGGTTTTTTTTCTCTGTAAACACGATAGTAACTTGGGTTAGGGTTTGTCACTCAATTGATTCTTCTCTGTGTGAATCTGTCTAGAGTCTTGATTGAGGGCTTGGAGTTCCTTCAAGGATAGTGAGCACTCTAGTGGTTGTACAGGTTTGCGGGTATAAAGCGAAGAGAGATGAGTGATTGATTGTATTGTTGGCAGAGAGAGTGAGTTGATTGTAATTTGTATCATTCGAAGTGTGATTAATCATAGTGCAGCGAGCTCCATATTCTAAAACTCAACGTGGATGTAACTTGTTCTATATTGAAGAAGTGAACCACGGTATATCGTTTGTGTGTTGTTTGATTTGATCTGAGTATTGGTGTTTTAGATTTGACAGATTAGGCTTAGTTTATAACAATTATAATATAATCACTAAGTTTCAAACAAGAATTATATATTTTATTGAGATCTCGACAACAAATTGTAACTGTTTTAATCATAAGGAGAATATGTAAGCGATATTTTAAGTCAAAAAAAAAAAAAAATTATTATTATTCAACTAATTTTCAAGCTTTATAGATTGTAATGCAATATTTTAAGTCCAAAAGTTATTATTCAAAATTTGGCAGAGCTTTTGCTTTTTAAGATTCATATAATTTGTCATTCTCAAAATTTTATTCAAAAGTTACTTCCATCTCTAAGTTATTGTAAAGCNATTTTTTGTTTTTCAATAGTCGTGTGCTTCAACGTGTAACACTGCATCTTGGTCAAAATAAGAAACCACCGTTTGCTGTTTTTGCTGAGATTGTTGGTGTTGGATTTGTGAAGTTTATGATGTTTGTATGCCTCTAGTTTGCGCTAGAGAAGACTTTGTATTCCCATTTTTGGTGATAGTGAAAGAATTTAATCGGACTACGGTCCCGTGGTTTTACTCCATACATTGGGGAGGTTTTCCACATAAAAATTTGGGTGTCATTGATCTTTAATTTTCTATATATATTTGTAGCTTTTGATTATATGCAATCGAGAAAGAAAATGAATTGTTAGAAGCTAGGTTCCTTTTTATTCATGCAACAGTGAATTGGATGTTGAATTGAAATTTCTTGCTTCTTTTGGGTTGATTAACACATTGGACAAAGAAAGATTGAGAGACACCAATGAATTGCTTTCATTGGAATTTTTAAGTTGAATTGAAGTTGAAACTGTCCATTGTTTTGATACTACTATAAGGCTCTTACAAATGGGTGTTTTTCATGGATTTTTCTCCTCAAATTTTTAGAAATTCCTTCATTCATTATTATTCTACTTACTCCTCATGAAACAGAGAAGAAACAGGGGAGTTAATAAAAAGAAAAATCAG